TCTCACACTCTCCACCAATCCTATTCTCATCCCCAGCACTCCTCATTTCTCATACCACAGGACAAATTGGGACATGTTCAAACAACACAATGATGACATTGATCTCACTTATGAATACAATGACAAACATCACGCTGACATTGACACACAACCACGCAACATACAAGACACCATCATACATGCAGCAAACATCTCCATTCCTAAAATATCACACAAACCACATTTTAATTTCACCCCTTCCATTTACACTAAATGCCTCTTAGCTTGTTATCACTCGATTCTTACACAACATACATCGATAGGGACAAGTACTCTGGGATCTCACAACATTAAGAAGCCACAGCCTCAACAGCTTAGATGAAGACCACACAAAACACTGCAAACACCTCACTGAACAAGCAGTACAACACATAAAACTGACACCTCAGGAATTTTGGAAACAAATCAAACGCTTACAAAGATCAACTCATACACCATTTAAATACCTTCTACAGAACAATAACAAAATCACTGAACCTGATGAAGTACTGACAATTTTTAAGCATCATTGGGGACGCATTTTTCAGTCACATCCTTCTGGACCAACTGCTCTTCCTAAAATTGAAGTAGTTAAAGACTGGGTACACTGTTACGGCCCTCTCGGGTCGCAACGGGGTTCGTACTCTGATGTCGTTAGAGGAAGTTGTATCCGGCCCCGAGCCAGTAGTGGCTTTCAAGGAATGAGATCCGTGACGCAAGAAACTTAAAGGGGGAAGGGAAAGAAAGTTAAGAACTTAAGACTATAATTATTACCATCACCAAATAAATAATATATAAAAGAGTGCACAGGGGGAGGGGTATTAACACTGTACAGGGGAAATACACAAACGTCTTCTCCTGAAGACTCTGGATCCAAACTCTCGGTGCTGAGTCCTCGGTGCTTTCGTGGTCTCTTGACGAATCCTTCGACCAAGCTGAGTCTACCCCAAACACAGGCCAGCCAAAACACAGTTCCACTGGGGGCACCGCCGTGGAGGCCGTCAACCACAAGTCCAGCAGGTCTGCTGGCAGGTTCCGGAGCAGCAACGCTGGTCAGGCCACTCCACGAGCGATACTAGGGTAGCGCCCTAGTCAGGAGCCTCGTGTGATGCCACAAATCACTCTCCTGTTCTCAATACCCCAGTGGATAATCGTCTCCAGCAGTCGGTCCCGGGTAAGACAATCATTCTACTGCCACTCCACTGGCAGGGTAACACCACAGTGTTCTTCCGGGAGGCGACTTCACAGCTGCTGCAGCAAAGCACAAGGTATGGGGACTGCTGCCTTGGGTAGACTGACTCAACTTCCATCACAGCAGTCCCAGGTCGACTCTGTAAGCAGACACGTCATCAATAACTGGGACACACTAAAGCACCTCACTTACAGGCTCAGACACAAACGCCCACCTATCCACTCCATAGATGGCGCTGTTGTCTGAGCACCACCTCACCAGAGGTCAGCAGCGGCGGTGTTGTGCTGAACAGGACTGGAAACTGGCCCTTGTGGCCAGTACACCTTGTCCTCACCAGGTGTCGTCGTCCATTTGGTGGGGGTTTCGGGAGCTGACCCACAGATGGCGCGGTCGTCACTGCTCCGTGCTCGGACGCTGGATCCGGGTTCGTAACATACACCAAAACAGACATGAAACCACACCTGATGACCTCATCCACCTTGACAACCTCAATTCACGCTGAACTACAGACTCCCCTGACTCCAGCTGATGTCAAGACAGCTTTTATGGGCACTCGTTGTAAAGCCCCTGGTGCGTCTGGCATTGGACATACCCTCCGCTACTCCCTATCTCTATCATTGCTCCTGTCACTAACTTATTCAACGCCTCTCTTGCCTCTGTGCATTTTTCTCTCCTCTTCAAATCTGCCACTGCTGTTCTCATCCCAGTTAACATGAGACTCACAACGCATCTGGAAAACAATGACTTATTCACTAATAAACAGTTTGGATTCCGGCCTTACCGGTCCACACGTGATGCCTTAAATATCATGAACAATTACATCAGCATCAATCATCACCAAAGACTTAGGACTGCACTCATCACTAAGGACGTTGAGAAGACCTTTGACACTGTTTTGCATGAAGGCCTCAAATTCAAATTATACAATAACTTCAATCTTCCACTTATCACCACTTAACTTCTTTCTATCTACTTAGACACTTGGACAATGAGGATTAAGTTTCTCCGACAACACTGATTACTTCAACTTACATGCCAGTGTTCCCTAAGGCTCTGTTCTTGCCCGAACAATTTGCATCCTATACATTAACGACATTCCTGATCCTATACATTATTACCTATCTGCTATGCTGATGATGTCTCTCACCTTGTCACAAGCAACTCCATAGAAACTATCACGAAGAGCACAAGCAGAACTCGACGCTGTAACTGAATGAGAATATAACTGGCGCATTAAAACCAACTTCAACAAATAAAAAAAATCATCTACTTTTTCTGTAATAGAACTGCACGGCCTATTTCTGTTCAACACGATTCTTTCATTTGTAATCCAACTAAAATTTCTATATCTCCTTCCACCACAGTTCTTGGCCTTACACTTGATCAACACTTATGCTTTCAGAAACACACATTGCACAGACAGTGCTTCTTCAGTAATGTGCAATCATTCTGTTAATGAGCCTTGGGGGATCATGACAGCTGAGTGGGCAGCACTCGGGATTCGTAGTCCTGAGGTTCCAGGTTCGATCCTCCAGTGGAGGCGGAAACAAATGGGCAGAGTATCTTTTACCCTGATGCGCCTGATCACCTAGCAGTAAATAATTACTTGAGAGTTAGACAGCTGCTTCCTGGGGGTGTGTAACAAAAAGGAGGCCTGGTCGAGGCCGCAGGGAAGCTAAGCCCCGAAATCATCAAGATAACCTCAAGAAGATATCCATGATTTACTGGATAAAGGTGTGCTTCAGAGGGGACCAGAACCTTGTCCCGGTCAGAGATCCTGGACTTGATCTCAACAAAAACTACGGTTGCACCACTAGACATGATGGATGATGGTGGACCCCCAACTGCTGCTCAGCAGTGCCGTAGCTTTACAGGGTCTGTAAGGCAACCCCACCACTCTCACTGCTCTTGAGGCGGCGCATCTGATCCTCACCCGACCTTGTCACTAGTTTGCAGCCAGGACGGTGTTCGTCTGCAGAGTGAGCTCCCTGATCTCTGAGAAACTAGTCACCGACGTCATCACCAGCATCAATGACCAGAACTCTTCATTGACTGCTGTCACTGTCAAGTTCATCACTGAAGCTGACAACCACCTCGCCACCATAAAGGTTACCTACAAGACACCTGAAGAAGCTACCTTTGATGCTGACAACGGATTCCTGTGTTTTGGTATCACCAGCATACCTCATCAGATCACGATCTCGAAGAATTGAGGAAATCAAGATGTCCAACGCCAGCCAGGCCAACACCACTCACCGTGCACCAACAACTTTCAACGTGCAAGCCGCCGACTTCCCAAAGCTTCCGGATGGAGTATGAGCTACCTTGTAGCCTGCAAGCCAACCAGGGCCTAGCTCACAGTTCGCTAACCATTCATTGACTAAGCCGCCACAACTTCCCTCTGGCCAATCATCAAGCAAGCCTTCACCACACCAGTTGCCAGCTCCCAACATCGTTAATAGTACCGTCTTCACACTTACACAACTGGCCGAAATGATGGCAGGCACGAACTACAAGGAATTCGTCTGAATTTTCAACAAACTCTACGTTGCAAATGGCCTCCCAACATTTACTGTTCCAGAGGAACTCCTAACGACTTCAGCGTCAGCCACTACTGTTACATATCCCTAGTTATGGATATTCACAATATTTAATATAAAATAAATTATTGTATTTAATTTCTTCATATATAAGTTTATGCTTTTTTGTAAGTGTAGTAGAACATGGCAGCATAGTTTGGAGCAAGAAGCGGGCTTGCTTGTTGCCCTGTTTAATACATGTCCATTCCGGGTTACTTTCTGGACCAGGAGACTGGAGTGTTCATTTGTGGAGTTGCTAGATGCTACCTCTTAAATAATTAATATTTCAGTATTTACTTTAAATAAATTTACTGCATTTTTATTATTGTCGTTTGCATGTTACAATGTATATTTCATTTCATCTTATGTCTGTGTGAGAACGATTACTTTTCTCATTAATTAGTTTCATGTAAAAGTACTCGTTTGCCAACCCTGTTCTGGATGGAGAGGGAGGAGGGGTGTTTTGGGGGTAGGAGTGTCCGACACGCCTCAGTAGGGAGGAGACACTCGGTCGGGGTACATCGTGTCATGATAAGTCTGTGAATCTTATTTTCGTTTCATTATAGTAGATTAATTATCTGGTAAGACTATATATATTTCCATGTGTTGATTTGCCATCTGATTATATTGTGATATTGAAATGAATAATCTTTGTATTAACTAGAACTTGCATATATTTTATTGATATTATATATAATTTTTTATGTGCATGTTTCTATATCCAATTATTGTGTTATTCTCTTGTTTGTATTGGCTTACAGGGCACTCTGGTATATCGTGCTTTAGAGACAGTGACTTACCCTAGACTATGTTTATCACTGTCCCCTGATTATACGAGCTGTGTGTAAAGGTCGGTAACAAAATATTGGAGGGGGGGGGGCTGTAACCTGGAGACTGTTCCCACATGAAAACCTGTAGCCGGGAGATTTCCCGCATTATATAAAACCTTACTAATCTAACCTTGCCTTCCTAGGAATAAGTGTGACCTAGGAAAATTTGTGAAAACTATTTCCGTGACAGTGATTATTGTCCAGTTTCACCATACTCAGCTAGTGTCAACATACACGCATTCACGATTATGAGGCAAGTCATTTATATTGTGTGTGTGTGTGTCATTTATATTTTACTTGCCCTGTGGGCCAAGCAGTTCTCAGTGTCGCACTAATTATTATTATAAAATTTCTATAAAAATGAAGTGCCAAGTGTTAACCATGGAGAGCCAAGTAGAGTCGCCATTGACTGAACCAAACTTTGAAGGGATTAAGAACCTAACAAAGTCTGCCTTGATCAGTATGGCAGGTAAACTAGAGTTAGCAACCAGTAATAAGATGGTTAAAGCAGATAGTGAAATTGATAATTACTCATCTAGTGGAAGATGGTAAACTAGGGGAAGAGGTCCTGGAAGAATTAGTGATGGGACAAATAAGCAAGTGTCATTAAGACGTTTTGAGCTCGAATTGCAGCTTGAATTTGCTAGGCTTCAGACTCAGCAGAAAAAAATTGAATTTGAGACTTAACAGAAACAATTAGAATTAGCGGGTCAAGAAGAACAAACTAGACAGAAATTAAAAGACAAATGGCAGAGGACAATAACAAAGTAGAAACAGAGAGACTGGCAGCTGGACATGGAAATACTAGCAATATTCCAAATAATACGAACCCTCAATCTAATGTAAATAAGTATGTCGAATTGCCTAAGTTCAATGAGGAAGACTGAGGTTTTCTTTTCACATTTTTCCAAAATTGCAGTAAGTAATTATAAAAAAAGGCACCAAACTGGGAAAAATTGCAGTAGGTACGGACAGGCCAGTAGACCAGTGGGTAGCTATAATGCAGTCAATTCAGGGGGAAGAGTCAAGAAGTAAGTAATTAATTATCAAAAGAAGGCACCAAACCGGGAAGGCTATGTAGCACCATCAAATGCGCAAAATAATCAGAGGGCGATAAATATCACCAAGGATGCCAATACGAGAACAAAAACGCATAAGGCGAACGATATCAAAAGTATCCGAGTCACCAAGAATTCTATTGAGGGACAGGTGACCGCGAGGGGCGGTCGGAAAGCAAGACACACGCTCGTCCTGGAAGTCAGGACATTCAAGAAGGACATGCACGACCATAAGAGGGACAATGCAACTAGGACAATAAGGAGCAGGGCGGCGCTCCATCAAGTGACCATGGGTTAAGCGAGTATGGCCAATACGCACCTCGCCAGAGCTGTTTCCCACTGCCGGTTACGGTGGAAGGAGGACGGCCACGAGGAAACAACATTTAGGAGCACGTAGTTTGTTACCAGTAACAGACAACCAAGAAGCCTGCCAACGGGTAAGGACGGAGGAATGGATAACCGGGAAAAAGTCGGAATACGGAATACCTTTACAAGAGATGGGACAAGAGCGGACAGCTTCCTTGGCGGCAGCATCCACATGCTCATTTAAAGACACACCAATATGGCTGGGAACCCAACAAAACTCAACCGACTTAAATTTACTGTGAACAAGAAACAGCCAATGCTGCATATCGACAACTACTGGATGAACCGGATTAAAGGACCCGAGAGCCATGAGGGCACTACGAGAGTCAACAACAACTACAAAGGAAGACTGACAATGAGAAAGCAGGAGACGAAGAGCATAGAGAATAGCATAAAGCTCCGCTGTAAAGATGCTAGTCTCCGGAGGTAAGCGACACATATAAGTGCGATCAGGAAAAACAACAGAGTAGCCAACACCATCCGCAGACTTAGACCCATCGGTGAAGACAGAAACGGAGCGGGAATGAGAAGAAAAGTGCTCAAGGAAAAGGCGTTTTAGAACCGCAGGAGGGGTAAAAGCTTTAGTGATACGGGTCAAGGATGTACAAAACCGCGGAAGAGGGACTCTCCACGGGGGCAAAGAAGGAACAACACGAGGAGAAACATTAGAAATACGAACGGAAAGAGAGTCCTGTAGGCGAGATAACCGGACAGAAAGAGGGAGGTGGTGAAGAGGAACAGGAACCGCAGGAGGGGTAAAAGTTAAAGCAGGACAGAGGCGAAAGGAAGAATGTTGTAAGGACCGCGCAAGATAGCGAAGACAGTAGCGATCACGGCGGTCTTGGAGAGACAGGAAGCCAGTGTCAACATACAACCTAAGGACGGGAGTCGAACGAAAGGCACCAGAACTGAGGCGCAACCCAGTATGGTGCAAAGCATCAAGACGGCGAAGAGTAGAAGGAGAAGCAGACGAGTAAGCAGGGCAACCATAATCGAGCTTAGACAGGACGAGAGAGGAATGTAAAGCAAGGAGAGTGTGCCTATCTGCCCCTCAAGAAGTATGGAACAAGACCCGAAGGAGGGTAAGGGCCTTAGAGCACTCAACACGGAGGTAAGAGATATGGGGAGACCAAGACAAACGAGTGTCAAGGAATAACCCCAAAAGCTTCGCGGAATCTTTGTACTCAAGGGGATGACCATAAAGCGACAAAGAGGGACGAAGAACGACCCGTTTCCACGTAAAAGTCATGGCGCAAGTCTTAGAAGTAGAGAACTTGAAGCCATGATCGGTGGCCCAAGAGGACATGGCATCAATTGCAAGTTGAAGCCGGCGCTGAAGGAGAGGCGAATCATCACCCTGACAGCAAAGGGTAAGATCATCGACATAGAGAGCGGAGAAGACACCTGAAGGAAGAGAGGAAAGAAGACCATTGAGGGCAACCAGAAAAAGAGTAGTGCTCAGAACACTACACCTTCGTATTGCTGAAAAGAGGCTGAGAGAGCGGTACCAAGGCGCATCCGAAAGGAACGACGAGAGAAGAAGCTGCGGAGAAAGAGAGGGAGACGACCACGAAGGCCAAAAGAATGAAGTTGATAAAGAATATGATACCGCCAAGTGGTGTCGTAAGCCTTTTCCAGGTCAAAAAGGACGGCAACAACGGAGGTCTTCGCAGCAAAAGCAGTACAAATATATAGACCTCCAAGTTCACCAGGACATCTGTCGTGCTGCGGCACTTGCGGAAACCAAATTGAGAAGGGGAGAGGAGGTGATGGTGTTCCAGGAACCACATCAGACGAACGTTAACCATACGTTCAAAGAGTTTGCAGACACAACTTATGAGGGCAATAAAGCGAAAGTCCTTAGGGGAAGTACCCAGAGACCCCGGTTTGCGAACGTCACCGCAAAGAGAATGACGACAATTGAAGTCACCCAGCAGGAGCACAGGCTCCGGTAAGGAGACTAGGAGGTGTTTCAAATCAGGAAGAGAAAGCGGGACACTCGGGGGGAGATAAATGGAACAAACTGTGTACCATTTCCCCACAGAGATACGAGCAGCAGAACAATGGAGAGGCGAAGGAAAAAGTAAAGGAACAAAGGGAACATCAGCACGAATCAAGAGAGCAGAAGAATTAGAAGCCCCAGCAATGGCTGGGGGTGTGAGGGAGAAAGGAATAGCCACGAAAACGACCAGGACGAGCACCAAGCATCGGCTCCTGGAGACAGACACAAAGGGGGCGAAAACCGTGAAATCAGAAGTTGGAGTTCGAGGAAATTGGCGTAATAACCTCGAACGTTCCATTGAAGAATGGACAACGACGAGAAGAGAAAGGACAAAAACAGAGAACAAGGAAGAAACAAAGGCGAAAGAGCAACAGAGCACGTTAAAGAATATCAGGGTCGGGATCAGGGTCAGCAAAGTCAGGGTTAAGGGGCATGGGTAAACTGAGCAAAGACGGAGGGAAGGAAACGGGAGAACAGATCAGAGGTGGGCGGGCGGGGTCCGGAGGAGGAGGAAGAGGAAGAGACAACGGAGAGGAGCAGTCAAGGACAGCAGCAGGAAGAGGGGGAGTAGAAAGAGGGGAGCGCACCCCAGCAAGAGCAGCAACCGAAAGGGAAGCAGGGGCCAAAGAAACCTCCATAGCAGGAACAGGGGGCGCAATCACTGAAACGGGAGGGGAAGGAGCAACAGAGCCAGAAGTAGGAGCTGAGGAAGAAAGCGAAGCCTTCTTACCCGCCGGGGAAGAGGAAGGAGAGGAGCCAGGCTTATGCTTCTGACTTAAAGAGACTGGTGTCCCAGCAACTACGTACCGGGCAACGGATTCCAGTGTCTCAACAGGAGAAGCTGAACGAGAGCACACACGACGGCCGTTAGGAGAGCGATGGACATCCGCCTGCACCGACAGGCGGCGGGGAGAGTCGATAGATGGAGGAAGAGGATGGGAAAGAGGATCGGAGGGGGACGAGGAAGAAGACACAGGAGACATAACAGACCGGGTAGAAAGAAGAGGAACCCCAGACAGAGGACCTGGAGGGGGACCCCTCGGGACAGAACACAAAGGAACAGAGGAGGGGGCAGTGGGCGTATCAGGGTCCAAGGCCCAGAAACGGTTGTGAGTCTGAGGAAGGGGGGAAGGAAGAGGAGAGGAAGAGCGCAACACGCGAGCATAAGAGATGTTAGCATAAGGCGGGAGCCGGCGAACCTGGCGCCTCGCCTCAGGAAAAGATAAACGCTCCCGGTGCTTCAAGTTGAGGACGGCTGCCTCAAGCTTGTAATGGACACAGGCACGGGAGAAGATAGGATGGGCCTCACCGCAGTTGAGGCAGCGAGCTTGGGGAGAAGTGCACTCCGACTTATAGTGACCTTCACCCCCACACAAAGGACAGAGAGAGACAGTCCCAGAGCAGCGGAGGGCACCATGCCCAAACCGCCAGCACTTGTTACAAAGTCGAGGAGAAGGAATATACTCCTGGACAGAGCACCTAGCACCAGCAAGAATGACAGGATGGAAGGGTCCTACCATCAAAGGTGATCTTCACAACGCGAAGGGGTTGACGGCGACGACCACGAGGGGGACGAGTAAACGAGTCAACCTGGAGGACAGAATGGCCTTGGGCATCAAGGATATGCCGAATATCATCGTGGCAATCCTGCAGATTCCGAACACCGGTTGCAACATGGGGTGGGAGGAGAATAGTGCCAACACTGGCATTCATCTGAACGTTCTTGGAGACCCGAACAGGGATCTCGCCAAGACAAGATAAGGCAGCCAAGCGGGAAGCTGCATCCTGAGAAGGAGCAGCAACGACACGTGTACCGAGACGAGTGGGGTTGAAAGTAACAGACGCATCCACGGAATCTACAAGATGCCGATGGAGGGAGAAATCATCAGGAGGCGCAGAATCAAGAGGGAGGAGATCAAAGTATTTGCCCTCGGGCGGCTGGGGCGCGAACGGCGTTGAGAACCCCTAGAGAGAGAGGGGTCAAAAGGCGCAGTAGTCACAACGAGAGACTTAGCCGCACCAGGGGACGAAGTGGTCACCACT